CTCAGTCCCTAGCCTCCGACCGCCCCGACGCAAGACATCGCCGCCCTCAGAGTCTCGCCCCACCCACTGGCCTACACCCCGTGATACGTGAGAAATCTTATACTTATTTGTGAGTTAATTTGCATATGTTATGATTTGAGTTAAGTTTATTATTCAAGTTTTTTCACGTATTTTATTTTGTGAATAGACATACACCAATATTCGATTTTGTGCTTATTTTGCAGTTATTACACATATATGTGACGTGGCATTGATGAGGTGGAAAATTAAATAAGCAATGATGGACTTGGAATTTTGCTTGGCCAAAACACACGCAGATGGCTCTCAATTATTTGGTGAAATTTATGTTTAGTGAGTATGGGATGGGAATTTGGATTAAAAGTGGACTCTCATGCTGGGAGAGTTTGGTAAAAATTGGACTTTGGAATTATTATCCAAAAGTCATGCGTGGCATAAAACAGGAAGGAGGACTTGGAATTACATTCATTCATCTTGGTGGGAACTTTGAGTACGTGAGCTTCAAGAGAACAAAGAATTATTTGCTGTGGCCGTGGATCATAAGGGAGCTTGATATTTATTTATTTTTATATTTTATTTTTTATTTTTATTTTGATTGAAGACCATGAATGTTAGTATTTATTTTGATCATTTAGCTATGTGTAGCTAAACACTATTTCGGTTCTAGGGACGTTGAACCCTCGATGACTATGTTCGATTAATGCAATTTATTTCGTTTTACTCGTCGTATAAAATTGTTTGTATTATTCTAGTTTCATGTCATAATGTGTGATTTTTAATTTAGCTTGATCACCTAAGTTAGGGATTGCATGTTAATTTCTAGAGTTGAGGCTTTGATCCGTAATTGTCGTAGTTCTTAATTCAATTGTAGCAACTAATAGTCGTGCATTGTTAGGGATAACACAACATAAGTTTCATGAACCGAGCTTATGTGTTTGTGGCTTAGATCGGTCTATTTTCCTAGATTTTAATGCGACTAGTAGATTAAATTAGGAGAGCTTATTCCGAGTTATTCGCTAGTTAGAATTAATTGAAGAGCCTATTTCGATTAAGTATAAATTAAGAGAAAATTCGGGTAGCAGAGCTTATTGCTATCTAGGACCGGTAGTTTTAGAAGACAAGTGAAATTTGATAAATGCATTAATTGGACTAGTTATTCGAGGGTCTATACTGACCTGGGACCGATTTCATTCTCATATTTTCTAGATTATTTGTTTATTCTCGATTTCATCATATTTGCATTTTAATTATTCATCTCTAGTTTTAGTTTAATTTATCATTTTGCTAGTAGTTCATTTTAAATTAAATTCCCCCATTTTCACTTTGAACTAATTAATATAATAATATCACGATTTATACCACACTCCCTGTGGGATCGACCCTTGCTCCCACTACTACTAGTTAGTAGGGGTTAGTAGAGGTTAAATTTATAAATTCAAATTTGCCGTGTAACGACACGCGGTCACCCCAACCAAACACCACCGCAGACAAGGGACCGGCGACCAGAGCCCACAAGCCCGTCGGAATAAGAGAAGCCGGCAAAATCCGCCACCAGTAGCCGCAAAATCGGAGGCGTGCGACGACAGGGATGGGCCGAGCAGCCAAGGACGACTACTGGCCGGAGCCTCGCCGTCTCCGAGGAAGGCAAAACGACTATGAATTTGAGGAAGACGCCGGCGAATTGGGGGTTAGGTTTTTCTTATTTCGCGAGAGACTCATTCAACCAACTTTATTCAAAATAACTCACTTAAACTCAAAATTCAATCTCTACATATATTATTTATTTCAAGAAACAATATATTTAATAAAATTTATAAATACTAAATATATCTTTGTTATATAAATAATTTGAAAAATATAAAATAACGTTAATGAAAATACATATTATTAAAGTCTCTAAAATTGAAATGCACATAAAAAATACCCCATCAATAGATTGCACAATAATGTCAGACGAAATGGACATTATAAGTTTGATAT